GTATTTGTTGAACAGCTCCTCACCCTCGGCAGGGTAACGGGTGAAATCGTCTTCGTAGTAGTCGTAGCCATCCTCGATTTCCAGCCTGATCAGATCGCTGCAGTGGAAGTTAAGCTTGATGGTACGCAGACCCTTGCATTCGAAAGCAAGTTCTAGATCGGCGTTCACACCGAACTCTTCATTGAAGCGGCTGAAGAATCTGAAGTCCAAGTGACGAACGAGGTCAAAGCGGCTTGGCCCTACGGTCAGAAACGCGCGTGCAAACTGGTTATCGGCGTATGAGCAAATCATCATCTGTGAATTCTCGATGACGGTGGCAACTGTCTCGTCGAAGGTTCGTCGCGATGTATAGCAGAACTTGGGAAGAAACACGGGTCGAGCAGGGTTATTGCCCCTCCTGACTGCCTTGCGCACTTCCATCACGTTCGTATCGACATCGAGGGCAAGTTTCCAGATCTCGAGGCGGAGTTCAGTAGGCAATTCAAGGAATCCGTGAAACTTCGGCTTGATGGCAGGGGTTTCGTGGGCGTCTGCGACTGCGTCGCTCACTGGAGTCCACGGCTCGCCTTTAATGTATTTGGGTACTGAATATCGTAAGCATAGCTCGTGGTTCCGTGCATTCCATAACGACCTACCCTTCTTCGATCCGGGTAGCACGCCATGTCTCACTACCTCAGCCCAAGTCTGAAGATCTGAGTGCGAAGTACTGGAAGACGGGGTTGCAGTAATGGTTGAGCCCTGAAGATCGGGAAAGGTCACCGTGTCTAGTTGGAAAGTCGCTGCATCGTACGTGACGTTCATGCCAAATCGACTGCTGGCTACTGAGAAGGGGATGAGGACGACGGGCATGTTTGCGGTTTTCTGTACTGTTAGGAAAGGTCTTCGTATCAGAGGTTTGACTTACAGTGCAAAGAGAAATGAATGTAAGAGCCCGAATGGGTAGAAATCGTGAGACCAGGTCTATCGGTGTCTGTTCGTATACGCGAAATGAAGGCTCTACGTGTACGGGAGGTAGTGAGTGGTAGATGAAGCAGGGGATTCAGACTCCTGCCTCGCCCTTGTAGGACAGCGTGCCCAGCAGAATTTGCGACATTCCTCTTGGGAAAGCGGCTTTGTGCGTGGGAATTGTATGAAATGCGGCAGGTGTGGTTGGCTCGCCGTCTATGGGCCATCAGTACCACGGAATGGAGGTGATGGAACCAATCTGCATCTCAGCCTTTCACATATTCGCATCTTAATGTGACCTCTCCTTTTGCGCCTACGCAAGCAGGCAATTCAGAATTTATGGGCGTGCTCTTGCACCACCTTTCCATCTTCGATGACACAGATGTCGACGCCAGCAGTCACACGCAAGCTCTCCATATCGAACAAGTACTCTTCATCCTTCTTTACTACCTCCAAGTAAAAAGGATCTTCGTAAGCCTTCTCGAAATCTTCGTACTTCCGCACCCAGAAGTCCGCCATGCCGTCGTACGAAAGAGTAGGCATGCTTAGGCGTGCTTTGTGTCTTGATGTAGTGTGATACTTCGAATGGTCAGTACTTGTAGATGAATTGCGCAGAATCAAGATAATAAGGGGCTGCACAAGTAGGGAGAGCTGATGGGAGTGCTCACTTGGACGTATTTGACGATACCGTGACGCTGCAGCCATGATGTGATGAGAGGGCCATGTTTGTTCGCCCAGTGGTCATTGAACTCATCTTCAGAAAGCTTAGCATTGCGGTTCGCAAAAACAGTGATGCGTATCAATTCTTCGGTCGACATGATTGCTGTTGCTTGAGTTGTCGCGAATGTGGCTGGCGTCCACGGGTGGCTGGGACGAGGATGCCGGGTCGATGACGCATCACTGCCTGCAGGAACCCTGATCAGCATCCATCCGAACCTACCGCATGCACGATTTCAATGTGCTCTTTCATCGCTGATCACCCCGGACCACCGATGCGATGCTCATTATTGTACCTGTCGCTGCGGACCACGTCGCCAGTTTACTTTTTGCACATTACGCCCCGCCGTGACCCTGTAGAACGATAAGGATGGTGCTCCACCCCACCACCTCTCCACTCGACTCTGAGATCAATCACCAATCGCAGGCACGACCTTAGCTTCCAGACAACACATGAAAAAAAAGGGCCTTTTCACGTACGGCTACCGGTAGCGCCCGCCATGCGGCGTTCTGTTACCCGTAGCCCCTCATTTAAAGGAACGGCGATGTTCGGTCGAGGCCGCGGAAGCTATTATCCGACAGCCGCATAACAGAGTAGCAACATTAACTACCAGAGCACTTCAGCTTCTGGCAAACCTTGAAAAAGACTTATCGCTTGCTGGAATACAATACGATCGTTAAGCGTGGAGGCAACATGACATCCATCGACCTGCCGCTGAACGGCAAGATACTCCTCATTACAGGAGGTGCATCTGGTACTTAGAATACTGTCCATGTCGGAAAGGTGTATGTCTAACATGAACAGGAATCGGCCTTTGTGTGACAAAGCAAGCACACGATCTCGGCGCACGCATCCTTGTCGCAGACCTCAAAACGACACCCGACTTCGATACCTTTGCTGCCAACAAGTCGAACATTCTCTACGTGCAATCTGACGTGACGCGATGGGCCGACTTTGACAAACTTTTCGACGCGTGCGAAAAGCAATGGAACGACGTTCCCGATGCATACGCCATCTGCGCGGGACTGTTCGACCCACCGTTTTCCAACTTCTGGCAAGACCCCGAAGACCAAGGGTATAAGCAAGTGGAGGTCAACGTGAACCATCCAATCAAATTAACGAGATTGGCTATCAGGAAGAGTCTAGGGAAGGGAAAAAGGGCTAGTGTTTGTATCATCGTAAGTTATACCACATATCAGGGTCGATACGAAGGGTCGTCACGTAGTCGATGGCACGTCTAACACCAGAACAGGCGTCAGTAGCCGGCATATCAGGCAACCTAGCAGCTCCGCTCTACTGCGCAACGAAACACGCTGTCGTGGGCTTCGTAAAGTCTCTTGGGCCATCTGAGTCACTCACAGGCGTCAAGATTACCACTCTCTGTCCTGGCGCCGTGGCGACACCGTTATTTGACGCCGCGAAACTCAAGCAGTACTCCGTGACTACGGAGAAGGCATTGACACCAGATGCATGCGCGACTTCTTTGTTGGATCTGCTACAAAAGAAAGAGTACCCATGCGGCAGTGTACTGGAAATTACTCTTGGGGGAACGAGGCTTATTCCGGAGTGGGGTGTGGAGCCGCCGAAAGGTGTGGGCTCGGGACAAGACCTGGATGAGCAGTTCATGACGAACATGCTCCAGCCTATCAACGATAAGTTGAATGCGGAGAAGGCGAAGGCATGAGGGCACATAGTGTAAGGGGTGCGTGTGTATTATGTGTGGTATTGAAATCTCGCTACCAGATCACACTGAACAACGAAAAGTCAAAATAGGTCTGCAGCACATATCAACATGAAACTATGCAAAGTAGGTGACCCAAAGCCAACGTAGGCTCCAGGCTGATTAGGGTTTTGCAGTATACCCTCAGTATACTTTCCACACCCCTGACATCCCCGGCTTCCAGTAGCCTCAACCCCCTAACAACCCCACATACCCTCCTTGCAGTCCCCCAAATCCCTCTTCTGAACCACCACCTTCTCTGTCTTTGTCTCTTCAAACAGTTTGCCGTGAGTGTGCCTCCATTTGTCGGGGATGACAACTTCGTCATCGGCGTCGTTGTCGTTTGCTCGTGCGACAACAAAGTCGCTGGTGGTGATGAGGGGGAGAGTCCCCATGCCGCTTGGGATGTACGGGCGAGGGTTGGGGAACATGGGGAGGCTGAGCCCCAGGGTGATGAAGAGGGAGATGATGATGGTGTTGAAATGCATCTTGTTGGTTGTGGTGGGGAGGTTTTTGGTTGGTGTGTTGTTTGGTTTTGGGTTGGTAGTAGTGGATGTTTTGTGGTATCCTTTAGTTGTTTTGTCTTTGGATGTAAGATGTTTGTGTGATGGTAAGAAACCTAAGAGGGAGCGCAGAAGCAGGGCGTTATATACTAATGGGCGAATGCGCAAATTCCATGGGATTTCAGTACCGTGGTTCAGATGTGGTTGGAGTTCCGACTCCACCATGCTCTCCAAACATGGCTCAGTGATTGCTCGAGCCATACAAAGCGTCTCTGATTTGTATCACGCAGGGACTAACCAAAGTCTTGAGGTAGCCGGGTAAACTTCGGCTGGTTACCGTGCACAAACTTATGGTGCCGTGAAGTAGTCGAGCACTTTCCGATACCCAATCGCTTTTGCAGCATTTACAATTTTGCGCTAACCCTACATGTCTACCTGAAGTTCGCGCCAAACACTCCTTCAGTGCCTGCCTTCAGTGCCTTCCTTTGATCAGCACAGCCCCTGCGCACCCCATCCTACCCTGCATTCTTAGCCCGGCTTTCTTCTCCGCATACTGCTTACGCAGCAACTGCCAATCTGAACACGTGATATTATATCGCTAAGTTTGCTCACAATGGGTCTTACCCTTTCCAAAGTCAAGCAACGTAACTACTAGAGAGCATCGAGATGTACGTTACCGACTCTCGCGTCTGGATCACGAACACTGTATCTAGAAACTGACACCATCTCAGGGATGCGCTGCAGAATATATAGGTACGACTGCAGTCTCACATGATTGCGATGTTCTCAGTCTTGTATGCGGCAAGCGCAGCACATTTTTTGATTACATTGGTCGTAGCCATCACCGCTGTCTAGCATAACGATACTTCTCTTTGCAAACTACGTGGCTGGAATGTATGACTGCGCTTTGTTGTTGGAGACCCAGGAGGATACCGATGTGTTGTGGTCTGCGCTCGCGCCTCACCTTCACTTTCACCTTCACGTCGGAATGATCTACCTAAGCGAGACCCGAAGCGTGAGTCCGCTCCGGTAGCTCACCACCTGCAAATCGAGCGTCTTGCTTGTGCACTCAACACATCTCGAACCACAGCGCCCAGCGTCGCGATACGCGAAAATGGCAGAGAATCCGCGTATTCAGATTGTGGATGCGGTCCAAAGGCAAGTTCCTCAAGCTCGTGTGTAAATTCTAAAGCTGACCACTATGACAGCTGTTTCACATCCGGCGAATACACAGATCTGACCATCAAATGCGGAGCCGACATCCACAGAGTTCACAAGATCATAGTGTGCAAGCAAGTAGCCTTCTTCACTGGAGCTCTTAAGTTTGGTGGCAAGGTATGCATGGTAGATTCCCGAGGTCTGGAGAGAACTGGGTCTGACGACAAACAGGAAGCGCATACGGATGTCATTGATCTCCCCGAGGACGAACCGAAAGTAATTGCCTCTCTCATCGAGTACCTTTACACGGGTAGGTACAAGGCCGACTCCTCTACAACCCCGAGGAATGAGCATACGAGCCCGATCACGCCCTCCAACATCGAAATTCATCGGTCTGAGGCTTGGGATGCCAAGAGTGACCCATATACGTATGATTTCCCGCATACTTGCACAGAGAAATGTGACGAGTGGACGACATTGTGTCCTCATCATCGCTGCGAACTCGATAACTGCGGTTTGGCTTGCAAGGCCTTCATCTGCGATGAATGCTGCTTCGTCGGGCGTCTTGGAGGACCCCAGCTTCTTAAGCACTCGAAGATGTATGCAATCGCTGACAAGTACGATGTCACTGGCCTCAAAGAGCTAGCAGTCAAGTACTTCAACGTCGCTCGCTATGGGTTTTGGGACGTGGAATCTTTCGCCCTCGCCATCGATCATGTCTTTTCTTCGACCCTTCCCGAGGACACCGGCTTGAGGTCGATAGTTATCGATACCATTTCTGACAATATGGTCCTAATGCACAAGGCGGAAATTCAGGCCATGGTGGCAGCTCATAGCGACCTGGCTGTGGGTGTTCTAATGACGAAGATATGCTAGGCATCGAAGATGAAGAGGGATCATCAACAGCGACGCCACCGACAAGACCGGCGCGAATGAGGAAGAAGCTGATGAAGGCGAGGGTGCTGGAGACGAAGAAGTTGGTGCTTTCTGAACTCGCCACGAAGATAATACACTGCCGGCTCTCCGGTGTCATTATCATAATCGGCAGCGTACAAGCAGGCACTCGATAGTCGATACAACATGAAACCAACGCCCATCTCTTCCAACGCCTGAACACCATTACATATAGCATTACTGCGTGATAGCCCTTAATCCTTGTAATGTCAACCCAAACATAACCCCCCTCGCAACCCTAGGCTCCTGCAGACAGTCAAACACCTTACCCAACGCCTCTCCACTAGCAGCCTGACCCATGACACTCGTAAGTGCTTGCGGCATACCATTCTCCACAAGCAACTTCCTCGCTTTGACCCTCAACTTCTCTTTCTCTTCATCGCTCATCTCTTTTGGCCATCCTTTGAGTTCTTCTTCGGTTGGCAGACCGTTCTCCCGGATCTTTCTGATGTGATAGGCTAGGCCGGCGTCGGACGCGTTCCCGTCGAGAACGGTGGTCTGGAGTAGCGAGGTGATGGAGGAGAGTTGAGGGTTTCCTGGGCGTAAGAGGAAGGATTTCGCGGCGTTGAGGAGGGTGCGACGGAGGGTCCAGGCGGAGGAGAGGGTGTAGAGTTCGTTTATGACGGCGAAGAAGAGCTCGATGAGGACGGTGGTTTCGGGCTCGGATAGTGGTGTGTGGATGGTTGCTGCGCGTGGCCTTGACAAGGGTTTGGCCGGAGATGAGGTTAGCGATGTGGCCGAGGGTCGACGGGGTAGTGAGGGCACGGAGTCTGTTGATGGTCGCGAAGGTTTCTGAGGTGGGGTTGGTTCTGGTTGATTGCGCATGGTGCTGTAGTCGTCGGAGATCTCGCTAGGCATTGGCGGCAGATTGATTAGTTGATCCCCTCCCATCATGGGGCTGAGATCTTCGATCTTCTCGCGCATGCTTGGTGCGCGACTGTTACTTCGGGAGCCATATCTGGAAGACCTCCCCGAACGCTTGCCATCGCCGTCAGGATTATATGATGGCCGGCGTTCCATAGGCGCCTCGCGTCCTGGTTGCTGGTCGATGACGGGTGAGTGAGGATCGCGCACAGAGTCCATTGATGTGCGTTTGGTCACTAGCGATAACGTGCTCGGCGATCGAATATGCGTGGGTAGTTCGGAGACCGTCGACTCGGCTCTACTTTGTCGTGTTTGGATTGGCGCCGTGTTGGACGATGTACGGCTTAGAGGACTTCCGGATGCGTTCGGAGTGGCGGCGTTGCTGATCGATTCGCGATTCTTCTTGCCTCCCAGTGGTGATGCTACGCTGCCCAGTACGCCTGTAACTCCACCGAAAAGAGCTTTGCCACCACCAGCAACTTCTTTGGGTGCTTTTGAAAGTACGCCCATCATCCCTTTACCCACTGAGTCGAAGGTCTGGCCAGCCCATCCAATCCCTGGGAAGCCACCACCAGGGGTCTTTCCTGATCCCAGTTCCTTATCTAAGAAGCGCTTCATCCCTTCACTTTCGGCAAGCGGTTGGTACTTGACAGCATCGTTGAGATAGCGCTCCAGTTCTCCACGCAGAGACGCCTTGGTGTGACCTTTCCACGGCGGTAGTGTAGCGTGTGCTTCGTTGAAGCCGGAAGTTCCGGTGATAGCTGCTATCCGACGTATGACTTCGTGTAATGTCTCAAACTCGGCATACTTGCGTGCCGTCATCCACCCGGTATGGTGATTGGACTTTGGCTCGATCTGGATCAGATATTCTGCTGTGGGCTTGGCCTTGATCGTGCCCTTTTCTCCAGGCATGCTGTCGTCGAAGATGGACATTGTGCTGTTATGCAAGGTTAACGGTGGTGGTCTTTCCGCGGGTGCGTTGTCCATAAGCGCAGTAGGCGGTTGGGGCATTACAAGCTGATCGAAGCTCGTGAAAGCCTTCTTGACCTCCTGAGCTGGTGGGTCTTCAGAACTCCTTGGCGGTGAAGCTGGTGTTGTCTCTGAAAACGACCGGCCGGAGAGCCCTGAAATGGCTAAGTCTGAGTTCTCAACATCGCCGTGCGCTTCGCCCTCGGAAGACGAGGGAGTAACTATGCCCTGGGTGGTGCTCTCGGACTGGTCATCGTTCAGGGTCGATGTAGACGCGCTTTGCCTTTGTTGCTCCTTCATTCGCTTTGCGTCTTCCTCGGCGATCATCTGGCTCAGGAGCTGCGCTTCTCGCATCGCATCGTCCATAGCTTCTTGCGCCTTGCTCATAACACGCTTGTGCTCCCTCTTTTCAGCGGGGGTTGCCGTTCCTGCACCAGCTAACTCGCTCTCCGCGTTCTCCTTGACACCTTGTAATTGTTCAGACGAGCCCTCGACGCCTGCGTCAATAGCATTGAGAAGCTCGGGCTCGCCCTCTTCCAGAAGATATACAATCCACCCGTTGATCCATTCTGGCTTGGAGCAGCTCACGACGATCATCTCGAGTATAAGCTTCGCGAGGATTTGATGCAGGAATAACCGCGCTGGCACGCAATTGTCTAGGGTAGGTGATGGTCAGCGTACGCGCATGAAATGTATATCAGACTTGCTTACAGGTCTTTGGTTCCAGATAGTTCTGTAGGATATCCTCAGCAGCCACACTGAACTGCTTCGTCTGGTAATCTTGGTCGAGGATGTTCGCGAGGGTGCTATCCCGCTTCATCTTGAGATATATATCGACCGCTTCGGTCGGCACATCACCGGGGGACGCTTGGATTGCGGCAGCGATCTCTTGCAGCAGTATGATCATAAAGGACGATGAGCGCGTCACGAAGTCAAGGAAATTGTCGGCTGGTCGCTTTCGGGAGAGGTGTGCAGATATGGAAAGCACGAAGGCTGTCAGAGTCTGGCGGCACGAGTTCGGGAAAGTGTCTTCGGAAGGCAGTAGGGGTGAGTACCACCACCTGCGTTGTATTAGAACAGTATCTAGGCACTGCGCGGAGGACATACTTGACATAGTCACGAATGACTGCATCCGTCAACTCCGTCAGCGCAGCGGCAGTCTCGGGCTTGAAGTCTGAGTAGTCGAGCGTCTTGCCGGAGTACAGCTGCACATTGAAGTCGTAGCCGTCGTCCCCGGACTTGCCCTTGTCTGGTGTCTTGTCCTTCCGCCAGTCGAGCACGCGCTGGGCGATGTCGACGGCCAGTTCTCGCTTCCGCGCGTCGGCGCTCTTTCCCTGTGTCTCCTTGCTGTCGCCATGGTGCCCCTCCCACGTCGCGTGGAGGACGACGCCGCCTACAACGCCTATAAGGACCAGCCCGACGCGGCCGAGAATGAGATATGTGCCTGCGCCGAGGCCCGCGAGACAGGCGCCGAGCGTCTCATTGCTCGCCGTCGCCAAGAAGTGTAAGGTGCGATCAGTGAGAGCCTTAAGGTCGAACGGAGGCGCGCCTGCCTCCGCCTTTGGTGCCTCCGGCGTCACGGCGGTGCTATCGCCGAGCGAGTCATGCTGTTCGTTGAGTGCGGACGGGGGCGGGCTCGGGGGTGGTGCTATGGGTTCGCTCATGGTGGCTGTATGTAGGCGAACATTGGGGTCTGCAGTGCGTGAGGAAGTCGTGGCCTGCAGTGAAGCATGGTCCGGTGCGACAGACTGGCTATGTGGCGTCCCCGGCCGCTGACACTGGCGTACTGGCCGTTTCACAGCTGCCGCTTGTTGATCGCAGGGCGGCCGCTGAATAGTATCGCCGACCCCGCCGCGCGTTGCATCGCTATTTTCAACTGCCCCGTCATTCTGATCTTCACTCTTCCACGCGTCACATCTCCCGCATCCGCACCAGCCATGTCCAGCGACGCAGCCAACGACCCCGAGATTCTCGCTCATGTCCAGCAGTTCTGGGAGGGCCGCAAGCCTAGCAGTCCCATTTACCAGTTCCTGCTGGACGATATCAAGCTGACCTATGCCTCCAAAGGCGTCGTGCGCGCCCAGCTGCCGCTTACCAAGAACCACGTGAACACGCACGGAAGCATCCATGGCTCCGTCTCCGCGACACTGATAGACTGGGTTGGTGGCATCGCTATCGCAGCTTGGGATAACCGGAGCAAGGCAGGAGTGTCGACAGACATTCACATCTCGTATCTGAGCGGGGCTAAAGATGGTGACACCATTGAAATTGAGGGCAGGGCAGGGAAGGTTGGCGGAACCCTCGCTTTCACCACAGCGACCATCTGGAAGCTTGTCGATGGCAAGCCAGGTCCAATTGTAGCCACTGGATCACACACGAAGTTCATAAAGATATGAACCTTCATTTGACACGCCATCTTCTTTGAGATCTCGTCCTGCGCTCCATGGTCGATCGAGCTCACTCGGATCGCGAAGATTGACTGACCCTCTCGCAACTGTTCTGCGCCTAGCCTTACAGCGACGACAGCATGGGTATGTGGGAGGGTCTTACATACTGTAGATGATCTAATATCATGAGTATCGAATCTGTTCGACAGGAGGCTTTTCTGCTATCCCAATATTGAGTTTCAACCTTCGGACATTTTCTGTCACTTTGCCGAGAAATTCTCCAGAATCTGGATGTGCTGGAGTAAAATCAATGCCAAAAGCTCCTCTGAACAAGTTCAATAGTTCAACACCAGATATCGCTATCGCGAGAGAGGGACACGCGTCGCGTATATTGGCGCCACACCCACGAGCCACACTCGGCCCGTGCCAGCCAATCACAGCACGCTTGAGCCACACATCCAACGCGCCAAGCCTCGCGGTTTCCCAGGTAAGCCACAGACTATGCCACAAACACAAGCAGGAGGGGCTGCAATCTGCGAAGTGCAGCGAGTCAAGGATCATGTGTCGTGAAATCAAGTTCATGGCGTATGTCATATGGTGAGCGGGTGGTAGCTCTGACGTCGATACTACCATAAACAAAGGTATAAACATGGGAGAATGCCCGACTCCCAATATCTATAAGAACTCCATAGTCCGCGTAGT